CTGCTGGCGTGGGCCGGCCGGGCCCGGACGGTCGCTCCTGCCGCTGCCTCCCCTTCGGGAGCGGCTGAAGGGCATCTCGTCCGGCCGACTCGCGGTGCATTCCCACCGTGCTGCAGGCAGCGCCCTCACCACCTCAGTTCTGGTCTTATTTTTACGTCGCTTGCGAGGAGTATTTCGATTTCTTCCTCACGTGCTGAAAACCAGGGACATTAAGGAAGCGTGTCTCAGCCAAATGGCAGAATGGCCTGTGCTTATCTGGGAGGGAACATACTGCTTTAGGCATATTTTTGATGTTTAGCACGTGCAACTGTCTACTCATGAGCTTGATTTTTTCCTTATTTACCCCTGCTTAGACTTGTATAGTCGTAATATGAACACGGTCTTTTCAGTTTTCCTGAGATCAGAGTTCTCTGGCAGCACCCAGAAAAAGATTTTAGTACTATCACTAATACAATAGAAAAGGATTCATCTGCAGTGTCTATTTCACACCTTAGCTTGCTTCCTGGCTGCACGCGGCTCGACAGACATCTCCTCTGACTGTTAAGCTGCCACTGCTTTTTTATGTTGCAGGTACTCTGCCGATACCAGCACATCTGGAATATTGAGCTGCGCTTTCGTCCAGCTTTCCTTGGTGGCATAATGCAAGCAACTGGTAGGCATATACAGGGAGATTAGCTCTGTAGGTAAATGCCTTCTTCACTAGTAGGACACTAGTGGACAAGCTCTTACTGACTGCAGATCCCAAAGAGTCAGCTTTAAACTAAGTTTTGGCACCAACAACAAATTAACTGTAGGATTGTGGAGCTCAGTAGTGACTGAGAAATCAGCCACAAGGAATTTCATACTATCGCAGCTACACAGCCCCTGATGCTTATACTGGTTGTGGCACGTACGGTATCTGCCAAAGTTTGTCAGTTCTAAAATAGGATAATAATAATTTGATATGGAATGTTTTCCTAAAAGTTTTTTGTTGAGTTCAAACCTGAATTCATTTATGAAACATCTGCAGTTTGTAATATGCATGAAGGATCAAAGTATGCCATAAAATAGTACTTGTGGCCTTATTAGAACAAATTAATCACTAAGACTTAGAAATCATGAACTTAACAACTCTGCATTTGTTTATCCATGCATTAGTGGTTGTTTAGCTTAGAAGTCATTTCTCTGAATCAATAGAAATCCCTGCTAGGACATTTGTACCTTGGTTTAAAACTCGTTCTGCTAACTTAAAAGGGTCGATCTGTGCAAAACCAAAATAAATCATGTTTAAGTCCTAGCATTATCTTTGGAAAAGCTGTGTATGTTTCAGTAAGCTAAAAGGAAGTTATACTCTTCCTTAGGCACATGTATGGATGAGGTCTAATTTGTCCAGTTTTGTTTAGTTTTATTATAATACACTTGAAAATCTCAACTTTTTCTGAAAGGCAACAAGCCCCCAGCAATGTTGCCAAAGCGTGCAGAATACCTGCTGAAGGATATAAAAAGGATGGCAAAGTACTACCAAGTGCCCGTACAAATTTCAGAAGATGATTTCCAACGTGTCCTTGGAAAAAGTAAGTGACTTAGCTTAGCTGGTATCTTTCAACTCCAGCACTTCTGGTTCAAGTCCTCCTAACAGTAAAGGTGAAGATGAATTCGCTGTCCACAGCCTTTTCCTCTATCTGTGAGCAAGATGAAATCTGTGCATTTTTAACCATAAAAGGAACTTCTGGAGAAATACGCTTGCGAATGATAATAGCATGGAAGATACTGTGAATCTACATAAGCTTTACTGTTTGGGCACTGCTAGAGAGGATCACACTGTTCTTGGGTAGCACTTGTGCAGACCATACCTGTGCTTGATCCTGTGCCTTGCTTCAGTATGTTTCTCTGTCTTCCCCGCTAATCCCAGGCAGCCTTGGGGCCATGCGTTTCATTACAGCCATTGATATGACAGAACCACGATACTTGGAACCCTTATCTAGGGAGTTCTGGATACGTTTTTGGTCACAGGTGAGTATTTTATGAAGCCAACTTCTTGATCCTTTCTCTGTCACTCTTCCTGTCCCACTTCATTCAAATGTGGAATGTGAGCAAAAGAAAGGAAGTGTCATAGCAGGAAACTTAAGGTCATAACGGTTCAGGAGACATTACAATAAAAGAACTAGCTTATAATTGGCTTAATTTGCCTTCTTTTAGATATGTATGGTGAGTCCTATGGGCTGAGTGGATCAGTAGTTCATACAGAAAGCACTTAATACATTCCTGGATTAGGTGACTTAAAACTTTTTCTGAGGAAATTTCTCCAGCAACTAGTATTGTTCTTATTTCTATTTTCTTAGAAAACTTGCTTTCAAGTCTAGAGATGAGGTTTTGTTCTTAAGTACTGAATTACTTATTTTATTCTTTTACCAGCATGAAGATATCAGTCAACCTGAGAATATGTTGGCTGTAAGTGTCTCCTTTTCGTTGGTGCTTCTGCATTTCTGAAAGATTCTTGTTGGTGGTTTGGATTAGTAATAGACATCTTAGCCAAATGATCACTTGGAGTTTTTGAAAAATTTCAGCTAGAAAAAAGTGGATTTAATTTCCCTAGCAGCTGTGTTTGGAATGGTTTGGGTTGGTTTTTGGGTTTTGGGTTTTTTTTGGTCATGCTTTGAATGACACTCAGAACCAGAATCTCCTTTTTTGTTAATTCATGTGGCGAGATACCAAGCATGGACAATGAATTATCTGTTAATACTGTTTTATTAACAGTAGTGAACAGTGTCTCCAGAATGCATTGAGATTTTGCTGCTATATGAAGTCTTCAGGTGAAATGCAGCGCTTTGCAGAAGTTGACTTTCCTTGGGGTGATGGAGCCAGGCTTTACTATTAAGTTCAGTGCTGTATTGCCCTTTTACATGCTTAGAAATTGTAGTTGTTTCATGTAATTTTTTTTTGCTGTTTAGATTTTTTTTTATTACAGTAAAAGCTGTAATGGCATGTAAGTGAGTATACCATGACACCCTCTTTAAGGACTCTCATTTCTACATTATTTTATTTTTTAAGTTCTTGGAATATGAAGAGAGGAATTGCCCATGGCTAGTCTCTCCTATTCAACATCCCTACTTGAAACCTGAAACTTGCAGTCTTGCTGTTTCCCCAGAGTCTAGTCCTTGCACTTCAACTTCATCTTAGTGTACCTTTTTTACCAGAATTTCAGCAAAAGTTTGCATTTTGCCTTTTCAAGAGGCAAGATTTGAAGGATATAATTAAACTGTGGCATGTTAACCCTGGAAGGCAGCGAAGCGCCACCACCTGCTCACTTCCCCCCACCTCCCAGTGGGACAGGGGAAGAGGGAAGGAAGAATAAAGGCAAGAAAACTTGTGGGTTGAGATAAAATTGCTTAATAAGCAAAGGAGAAGTGGAAGAAGAGAGAAGGAAAACAAAACAAGTGATGCAAAGGCAATCCCTCACCACCTCCCATGGGTAGTGGCTGGTGCCCAGCCAGTTCCCAAGCAAAAGGTGGCTAACCTCCCTAAACGCCATCCTCACTTCTTATTGCTCAGTATGATGTTATATGGCATGGAATATCTCTTTGGTTAGTTCAGGTCATCTGCCTTGTAAAACATTAGCATGTTATCAGCGTTGTTTTGGTCACAAATCCAAAACACAGAAACATATGAGCTGCTATGAAAAAAATTAAGTCCATCCCAGCCAGACCCAGTACATAAATATATACAGAAAATCCTTGCACAGTCTCTGAATCCATCATTATGTAAATAGAGATAAAGCAAGGATATGCAGAACTTCAGAGAAGCAAACTTCGTAATCAAAAAGATCTCTGTGTCATTTAGTCACTGTTTGGCAGTCTGTGAATATCCACCTATGTTCAGCAAGGCAGAGAGGTAGGCATCTCCTTATTTGCTTGTGTCTGTCTTCATTCACCCCTACAGCAAGTACTAGACCTTCCTCTCTTGTGGAAATACACCATCCAAAGATGGCTGAGGGGTCCCAACCCTTTCATCTGAATCTATAGGTGAATTTATTTTACACATCAATTAGAAAAATTGAATGTTGTTTACTTGATACAGTTCCTTAGAGTATTTTTACTTCCTTTTATAGTCTGCAGTAACTTCACATAAATTACTGTAGAAGCAATATACAGTCTTTGAATCCTTCCCAGTCCAGTTAAATATCCTTTCTGCCCAAGAATGGTGAGAACCAGATACTATGTCTCCATGTAAATACTGCAGTCTAAACACCATGGCTACCAAGCATACACAGCATTTTGTTGTATTTCAGTGCTACACTTGTGTATCTCCCATTCAAGCAGAGTTAAAAAGAGCTCATCTCCCTGATGTGGAAGTAGGAGACGGCACAAGAAAATAGGGATGTGAAATGAAAAAGTGATTGAGAGAAAGAAAGTATCATTAATACCTGCATGTGCAGGATTACTGGTCTGTGTGCAATACTTTAAGCATTTTCTAATATTTTTTTTTTAAAGAAAAAAAAAAGCACATGTCATTCAGGTAGATGGCAGGAAGTTAACATTTTTTTGTTAAAATAGGTACTTGTAACATCAATGTTACCCAATAAGCATTGGACCTTTACCTTTGGCCACTTTCTGTCATTCCTGTGTGGCAGAGGTACAGAGGAGGCTGAGAAGGTACAGTAATACACTAGCAACTGTCTAACCTCTGTGAGTTACAGTCTCTTTCATGCAGTATCAGTTACAGTTCCTTTATGGCCACATGTGTCATACAAATTGTTTTTGTCTTGGCAGGCATGTACAGTAAGATTTTAAGAACAGCATTTTTTTTCCAGTAAGTTATCTGATAAGTCATTGGATCAGAGGCTAAAATTTTTTCTCCCCCCCACCCCCATTTAGGAACTGGAAAAAAAAAGGTGCAGATTTGGGGCTCAAAAGTTTTAAAATTTCTCTTCTACTTTGTATCTGAGAGTTGATAAATGATGAATGGGTTGGGAATACAGCAAGACAGTTGTGCAAGAAGTGTTTCAAGGGTATTTTGGAATTTTTTTTTGGTAATAGATCTTGGGTGGTAACACTGAAGATTAAATTATAGACCATAGTAGGAATTAGAATATTTAGTATTAGAGTACTCTTAATCATATCCTCTCTTCCCAGGTTGCAGGACAGGCTGGGCTATCATCAGAGGTCGCCCAGAAGCTACTTGAAATGATTTCATCCCCTGCAGTGAAGAACCGACTGAAAGAGACAACAGAGGAAGCAATAAAATATGGGGTGAGATGCTTCCAATGCCATTTGGCATCACAGCTATGTATTCCTTCAATATTAAGAATACTGGGATGCAAGGAACAATGAATGTGATGATTAGAAAGCACTATCTAGACCATCTCTCTTAGGTGGTCTTTGCTTTTTAAACATGTGAAAGCTAACTCACTGTTGTTGGTAGTTTATCGCATTGTCATCTGGGAAATAAGGTTGACCCATTCAGCTCATTCCAGCTGGACGGCAAGGATGGGGAGCTACAGGACCAGTACTAAGAGATACCATTTAATGGTACTTGACGTAAAACTCTGGATTTATCAGGTTGCTTTTTTTGCTCCTTCGAAAGGGGCACACAGGCTCTGGAGAGTCCCCTACTTTTTGATGGCTCCATTAGACTCATCTTTAAGAATAAAGAAGGTGAAAACAAAGGGAGGAAAAAAAGTCAAAGTTTTTGCTTTTTATTCCTGAAGATTGAACGTGTGTCTGCAAAAATTTCTCTCATTATAACATTCTCTGTTTCATCTCCATGGTGTCAATAGGCATTTGGGATGCCTGCTGTTGTGGCACATTTTAATGGGGAACCTCATCTCTTTTTTGGCTCTGATCGTTTAGAGCTGCTAGGCAGCATTATAGGTGAGTGTACCTAATAACATGACTTTTGATTTCATGCTTTTACCCTCTTTTAATTAAATACGTAATACAGCTAAATAAAACACTCTTAACACCTTTCAAATATTAAACAATGTTGAGTATACATTCCAGTCAGCAGTTTCATCCCATGAGAAGTGTCTCAGTACACTCACATTGACCAGAGATGCAGTCCTTGTCCAAACAAGCAGTAACTTGAGTTCTCCATCCTCTCTTGGTATGTTTCAAGGCTTTGTGATCCACTGCCATTCTCAAATTACTACTGAAACTCCTTAGGTTTCAAGATGTTCATATTTAACCTTTTGGTACTGGGCATTAGATCTTGACTAAGATTAAGATTATGGCTGATACTGTGTTTTTGGGGGGTTTTTTGGTAGTTTTAACATTTTCATTTTATATCTGTCCCTTCCTAATAAAAAGCACATTATTGCAGCTCCCCAATCCATAACTTGTAATTATGTAACTACACAACTTTTGAACAGAAATTCATTTATTGACCATCCTTCTTTTCAGTTTACTATTAATAGAATATAAAGTTTAAATTTTTAAAGAGAATTGGAATAGGTTGTGATAACTAGTAAAACTCAGTCACCTGCTGTTACATCAGTTAGACTATTGATCTCAAGCCTTGGCAGCACTTGTTTAATAGGAGAGCCATCACAAGAAAGAGTTATGCAGATAATTAACTCTGCTGCATTTGTTGAAAAATTTCAGCAGAAAATCTTAATTAATGTAAATTAAATTAGTTATAAGCTTAAACAGGAGGGAATATTTCAGAGGCTTATTTTCTTTACTGCATGGGTTTCTGATTCTTCTTGATGAAAATGAGAATGAGGAAGATTCACTTCCCAGCGCCCACTATGATAGTCACTAATCCTAATTGGAATGTTGTGGTCTGGTTTCTAGTTTCAGCTCGAAGGACTTAAAAAGATTTTTGTTCCTCTGACTCCCCAGCCTTCCACCCTTTTTCTCTTCCCTACCCTCAGCCCCTCAAAAAGGAGTCCTAAAAATAATTGACTTCACCCTCATGCGGAGTGCTGCAGATGCAGAATCTCTCATCTCTGATAGAGGAAAGTAATTCGTCTGTACAGCTTCAGTTGTGACTAGACAGTGAAGGATTTATGGACCTGGCTGAAGCCTGCCAAACAAGATGATAGAAATCTGTATTCCGTCATCATTAGTTATCTCCTCTGCAAAAGAGGAGTAGGAACAGTCATCCTACTGCAGAAATGTGAGTGGACAATCACTTCTATGTATTACATTTTAATTTTCTCTTTTGTGCTGGTTTGTCTTGCAGGTGAAAAATGGCTGGGACCAGTTCCATCAGTTCCAAACCCCAAGATGTGAAAAGTCCTGGGGAAATATATAAGAGTAAAAATGTATGATACCTGGTCAATTTTCAGTGATTATCTGAATGTATCCAGTTTTATGGAGAGATGGCTTTCTCATCCTTAACAGCTAACTTTACAGCTCAGTCTCTAATTACAAAGTTCAAGGTTTGCCAGTATTACCAGTCTGGTGAGGTCTTTACCAATACAAATATGCTTCTCTTTTTTTCCCCAACAGATTAATGATTAACATTAAAGATTAAATGTTAAATATTTAACTTCTTACAGATTAAACATTCTTTTTTCCTGATTAGTTCTCTTACTCTAAAAGCATGAGGGTTAAATTGTTGTTATGGGACTGTGAGTTCTGGATTTCTCATATCTTCCTGCTTGTCCTTCAGAAACACACACAAATACAGCCTAAGAGAAGCTTTTTATTTTAAGTCCAAGATACTACATAGACACTAGAAGCACAGGACAAGGTATTCACACTTCCTTTTACTCTGCACCATGGCAATTGGAGGGGACATGAGAGACGAGAGTGGAAGAGAGAGGGACAATTCAAGCCCAAAGAAAAATCTGGGGAACCAATCAGGTATTTCAAAAGGAACTGTCCCTCTCCTGGACAGTATTTTATACGTCTTGCTCTGCAGTGACTGACATTTGAGGAGACCACCACACACATGCTGCATTCTCAGGCACTAACCTTGCAGGGGGTTTTAATTAATGCCAGTTTTACAGTAATGTCTTTGGAGGACAGTGGTTAATACCATGTAAGTTGAGTTGGTAACTGAACCAGACTGTTTAGCTTCCTTAAGGATGGCCTAATTGCTGCCTACCCAAAGGTGATTTGGTTATGGCTATGAGGGGCTTCCCATCATATAGTCTGCAGAGGGAAAGATAGGCAAACATTAAAATTAAAACCAAAACACTTCATTTTTCACTCTCATCTCTGATTACAGTAGTTAGAAATTACACACTGAAATAGTTTGATATTGGCTGAATTGGAATAACACACTTGAATTAATTTGATTTGTATGAAGTTTGACTTTTCAATGATTCTTGGCTGTGTCTGATGCATCACTGAAGGAAGCAGAAGAACTAGCAGCAGCTGGAGTTCCACTTTTTGTCTCTGAACTTTAAGGTAAAGCATATTCATGCCTGTTCACTTGAACAGCAAATCCTGGAACAAAGCATCAGAAAAAAATCTCTATCCTTCATGTTCTTACAGCTCTAAGTGTTGTGGGAGTATCATTCGTTCCCCTATCCACAATTTTTCCTTCTTATACCTCTTTCAGTTCTTCAGGAAATATCCTATAATTTGAGAACTCCTTCCTCCTTTCCACCAGCACACCCATTAGTCTTTGAGCAAATCCAGCCTGGAATGTAAGGAAATCTTTGTGAGATGTAAGAGGCTACATTCATTTAGGAGTTAGAATGACAGGGAAGTTAACCATGTATGTGATGCCATAGGTTTCTTTTTGCCCCTTGTTAAAGAGACATGTTAAAGAATTTTTTTGCCATTTTCCGCTTGAAATTTGCTAGTCTCCAGTTTGTGCTATCAAACTGATTTAGGTTGTGATAAAAATGGAATGACTGAAACATCATTTTAAGCCAGATCACCCCAGTGACCTGGAGCCACTGCCATAGGTGGTGCTGTCTCAAAAATGGGTAAAATGCAGTTTACTCTGGTGGGAAGGTGGGGAGAATGCAAGAAACATCTTGAAATCTTATGGTGAAAGCCAGCCTCTCATGATACTTTGTCCTTTGAACCAGCCTGACAAAAAAAAGCCAGCCTTTGTGACAGAGCATTGTTGGTTTGACAGATGGACCAAATGAGATGGATCTTATAGGCTGCTATGTATTTCCCACAGTTATCTAAAAGGCCCTTAGACTTACTTGAAATCAGTGGAAATGAAACGCTCAAAGCCTTAGGTACTAAAACAGTACTTAAACACTACTGAGATCAACAAAATCAAAACTCAGATGTTTTCTTACGTTGCTTATTGCCTGTGATTGATAACCACTAGTAAGTGGCTACAGCCTTTGCATTTATATCAGTGAGTATGCATATTGTTGCAATTCTGACTGTAAACCTACTTGAGCAAAAGCTGCCTGGGAGCAGAATTTTGAGGAAGTTCTGCCTCGTTTTTTAGACAACCTTACTCCTGCATTAGAGAGACCTGATCGTGAGCACAGGCTCTTGGCAGATGCTGGTGACTTTCCCAGCAAACACTGGCTGGCAGCTGTGCTGTCATTCTCAGTACTTATCTTCGGTGCAGCATGCATTTAAGTGGTCTCAGCGCTTTACCTGGCTTCCCTTTCTGATCTGCTGTCTGTAACGGTCAGTCCGCTGCCACAGCAATGGCCACCACTGCACGGAGCTGAACTGTTTACCTGACTGCTCTGAATGCCACCAGGTGGCAGGGCAGCTGAAAGCTGAGCATTACTTGGAAAAGCATTGAGGATCTAAACTGCTGTGTCTTTTTACCAGGCAAAGGGGTAGATGCTAAGCAGTAATAAGAACTGCCAGCTCTTTAGGAACAACTGGAAGAATTTTCTTCCATAAAGATAATACCTCTTCTACTTGGCTATATACCAAACTAATTCCTGAGAGCCTCACATCCACATCGCTTTCCGGGTAGCATGCTGTTTAGCTGTCAAGCCAGAGAAGATAATGGGCAAGGAAAGGGACTTCAAGCCGAAAGAGGGACGCTCAGTGACGCAAGCAAAATTGGTCTGTGAACTCTAGGGAACAAACTTGGAGTTGTGTTCCCCTTTGCTCTATTAAGACCTCACCAGGAGATCCAGTCCCACTTCCCATGTCTGGAAAAGCTGTGAAACTGGCATGGAGAAGTAGGTCCCACCAATGCTAGGCTGAAAGCAAACAAGCAAGCACAGAGATAGGCACAAAGTCACAAAATGAGCAAAAGATAGTGGTTCAGTAAAATAATGAAACCAGAGGATAAGTGCAGAGAAAGCTGGGTGACATCTGAGCAAAGGAAACCGAACAATGAAAGAAAAAGAAGAGAATAAAACTAAGCATAGATTAGGGCAGAGAGAGGTGTCTCAATGGGAAATGCTGCTCCCTGAGAGGGAGCAGGCAACCAAGAAAGGCAGAGCTTAGGTAGATCAGCAGTCCAGAGTCAGCTAGCCATTGAAGATCGTTGGGGGAAGAAGGTATAGGATTAACTGTATTTACTGTGGAGCCGTACAGTACTTGCTGCAGTCTTTCTATGAGAACAGGGATGGCGCAGGGGTCTGCCTCCACCCTGAACCACAGGCCTACGGTGCTTCTCCATGTCCGTTACTTGTGCTCCTCACCCAGTGTGCACCGAGAGAGTCCTCCAGCGGTGACCTCACACGCAGCACAGAATGGAGGCCTGCAGAACAAGGCAGTTCTTTAACCTTCCCCTGCAAACACCTTCTTGTCCTTTCAACCCTCAGCAAGCAAGCCTCCTATTAAGTCTCTCTTTCCTCCCATCCTTATCTTTATGCAAGTGAGAAGGAAACATTTTATTAAAGCACTTACTGGATTATGGTGCTGAGCATCTGCTTTGCTGCCTTTTCCTTTTCCAGTGGAGCCAGCAACACTGCTGGAAGGAAGCAACCTGCTTCCTAGAAGGGAACCAAGCATAGAACAATAAAGAAATAATCAAGAGGCTATCCCAGGAAGTGCACACATAGTGGTTTTACCACAACTTTTCACAGATCTGTGGCTTATCCACAGGTAGCAGTGAAAGGAAACGTGTCTACGCCCAACTTGACCTATTTCTCATACCAGCTTGAAACACGAGGAAAGTAACTACTTGGCTCTCGTGTCATTAAAAAAAAGTCATTGACCACTGGTTCCAGATTGTGTTTCAATGCCACATCTGTTCTGGCTATAGCTTCTTGCCTAAAGAAGCTGTATCTATAGCTATCTAACGAGTAATAAAGGCATTCTCCAACTTTCCCAAATGCTTCCATCAGTCCCTTTTTCAATTTCTGTATCAGTTTACTGTTATACACAAAACCTAGTTTAAAATAATACAGCAGATTCCAGCAGGTGGCAGTGTCATGCAGTCAAGCAAAGAAATACCATTACTAAATACATCTGTGCAATCTGAATGCCTTAGCCTTAAGAATATACTTTGGGAAGAAGAGTCTAAACTTACGCTCTCACAGTGTTTCTCTTCCTTCTCTTCCCTCTGCCCCCTAAGATTCCCATACCTGACCTCAGGGTTTAAGGAATTTTCCTATCATCACATATCAACACCATAGCAAAAACAGGGATGAAATACTTTGCAAAATTCACAAACTTAAAACATTCTTTTGTTTTCTGTAATCATCTGCTTATATTCACCATACACATTTCACAAGAAATGAGTATGATGTCTTCAATGTAACAGCCCTCTTTCTTACACCATTCTAATTTATTCTTAGGTGACCCTCTAACCAATGCACTAAGGATGGTTTAAAATTATTAAATATCATCATTTCATAAATAGTATAGTTTCTGGGAGTTTATGCATAGCTGTATTGCAACAGTAAATCTGTATTATAACTCTTTGAATCAGAGGAAAATGGACAGAGTTTTAATTAAAGAGTTGGTGTCAGTGTGGAATGTGCTAAGGGGGAAGAAGGAGCAGACGAATTACTTTGATGGCATAACTACCCATCATTCAATCAGGAAAGTTAAGAAAGCTGTAAAACTCAGCTAATGAGGGGTTCCTGTAATAAGATGGTAAGTCAAGATCCTCACAGGAACATTTTTTTCTTTTTGAACTATACATGATCATACCAGTATTTTCTAGGGAACAGATGAGATGCAATAGTGTTCCAGCAGTTTTTCAAAGGTAGACTATCCCCTTTCCCAGTTTCATGATGTAATTTCAAACTCTGAGGTTTAAAAACAAAACTGGCAAATCACTGCCATTTGTTGCTAAACTGTAGCTTTAAACAATGTGAATTTGCAGTACCAGGGTTCTTCTCTATTTTGTATATATCCCAGCTACAGTACTTTTAATTATTATGTCTGTTTGTAGGTAGTAACTAATAGACCAAGTCACTGAACAAAAACACATCTGAAAGAACTATGCATATGAACTAACCTAGAAGTGTCTTAACAAAAGTATTAACGAGGGTTAAAGCTGAATTTATATGCTGGCCTTGAGGCTAGGGGGGAAGTCACCTGCCTCATGTCATATGCATTAGCATATGAGACGTTGATGCTTTTTCAATTTCTGTATCAGCTTGTTACACACAAGCTCAGAAAAATAGCAGTTTTGGCAATGACAGTTCTCTATGTCTATCTAGCTCTGGCAGCATAATTACCACAGACTGCTACCAATTTTTCTTTTTTTCTTTTCTGTAACTTTTATCTCACAATCTGAATGGCAAATTGGGGAACCCAAGAGTGTATACAAACGTTAGGAATTCTAGATTACAGTGGGCATCCAAAATGTCTTAGGTTTCTTCATAAAAAATCAGTTCTGTCTGATTTTACACAGTACATGAACTATGGCTGAATAGTTATTGTATAGCTCACTAAAGGGGAAAACTAAAATACTCAGATGCCTCTCTGTGCCCCAAGGTGTTTTCTTTATTTTCAGTTTACTACACTTGATTATGGATAATTACACTTCTTCCCTGTTGCACAGATCAACCAAATTACAGAATCACAGAACAGCAGGAGTTGGAAGGGACCTCTGGAGATCATCTAGTCCAACTCCCTTGCTAGAGCAGGATCACCTAAAGCAGGTTCCACATGATTGTGTCCAGGTGGGTTTTGAAGATCTCCAGAGAAGGAGACTCCACAACCTCTCTGGGCAGCCTGTTCCAGTACTCTGCCACCCTCAAAGTGAAGAAGTTTTTCCTCATATTCACATGGAACTTCCTGTGTTCCAGTTTGTGCCCATTGCCCCTTGTCCTGTCACTGGGCACCACTGAAAAGAGTCTGGCCCCATCATCTCGACACCCACCCTTTAGGTATTTATAAGTGTTGATGAGATCTCCTCTCAGTCTCCCTCTTCTCCAGGCTAAATAGACCCAGCTCTCTCAGCCTTTCCTCATACGAGAGATGCTCCAGTCCCCTAATCATCTTTGTAGCTCTTTGCTGGACTCTCTTCAGTAGTTCCATGTCTTTCTTGAACTGGGGAGCCCAGAACTGGACACAGTGCTCCAGATGTGGCCTCACCAGGGCAGAGTAGAGGGGGAGGATAACTTCCTTCGACCTGCTGGCCACACTCTTCTTAATGCACCCCAGGATCCCATTGGCCTTCTTGGCCACAAGGGCACATTGCTGGCTCATGGCTCAGTCCTTGTTGTCCACCAGGACTCCCAGGTCCTTCTCTGCAGAGCTGCTTCCCAGCAGGTCAGCCTCTAACCTGCACTGGTGCCTGGGGTTGTTCCTCCCTAGGGGCAGAACCCTACACTTGCCTTAGTTGAACTTCATTAGGTTCCTCTTCACCCAACTCTCCAGCCTGTCCAGGTCTCACTGAATGGCAGTGCAGCCTTCTGGTGTGTAAGCCACTCCTCCCAGTTTATATCATCAGCAAACTTGCTGAGGGTACACTCTGTCCCCTCGTCCAGGGGGGACATTGATGAATATGTTGAATAAGACTGGACTATTAACATGTATTGCCACACTCCATCTTTTGGTAATTACTCTTCTGTTAGAACTGGCTATAGTACATAGATAGAAACATTTTTAGTATTTGCAAAAATCAATATATCATTCCTGGGTTTTTCCTAAATTTTTAGCACAAGTTGCTCTTAATCTTATCTTTTTCTATTTCAAGGACAAGATTTCACTTTGTGCTTAGAAAATGCAGGCTCATCTCTGCTACCTCATGTACCTCACACACACACACATAACCTTTTATTTCCTTTGTCTCTCCTCCTTCATCTATTATCATAAACACATTCTAAATGGTGTGGATGGTGACATCATCAATCTTTTTACTGCAGTCAGCAATGGCACTCAAGACTGCATCTCTACAGTCTCCTGATTAGGTGAGTTGATTTCAATAGTCAGAAAAGTATCCACTATGTTTACCCCTTTACTCTCCTGGCATAAGTCAGAAGTCTACAGACAAACCTGCATGTTTGTTGGTGTATCTATATATATACTTTTAAAAAAAGATCTCTGCTCTGAAGATTTAAGAGTAGATATGGTACAGCAAAAAATAACCTCTCTTGCAGGGTGCAGCTGTCTTACAATGCCAGGGTACTGAGAATCCACAGTGAAAATTTTGCAGTGTCAGTATTGGATCACTGCCATTCACAATGGAGTATATAAAACCTAAAAATTAGGTTTAAAACTTCATTATCATGTAAACTTCACGTTATTCTCAGTGATGTATATACCTGTGGGACAATAAGGAGTCAGCAGATAGGGAAACTGAGAAGAGCAGCAGAGGCCACTGGAAAGCATCCGTACTTCCAATATCCATAAAAAAAGGGAACAGCTAGGCCAAATAACCTAGCACTCTGGAGAGTGGAGCGTGTATTTCTGGAAATACCAGAGAGTATATTGGGTCAGCAGCTTTTCCCCAAGGTGGCAAGCTGGGAGCCCAGAGAGAGCTCAGCTACAGCTCTAGGATCCAATGGGATTTTATGGTAAGAAAAAGAATGCAGGAAGGAAAATGTTGCACAAGCGCATAGAGGGGTAAAAGGTGAGAGAACCTAAACCAATATAATAAAAGTTTATAGTGGATCACTTCCACTGGACTTTACGTGATGCAGGTAGGTGGGAGTGACAAGTGGATTTATGGAAAGATCACATTTGGATTAAACAATGGGTTGTGGTAGGGGAGGTGTAACAGCTGTTAAACAGCACTGTGCTCTCAGACGAATGGAGGGCAAGGGGAACTGCAGTTACTTACAAGGTCAAAAGGAGGTAAAATCCTCAATGACAACTGGCCAAGCAGGCCAAACAGCATCCTGGCTTGTATCAGAAACAGTGTGGCCAGCAGGACCAGGGAAGTGATCGTCCCCCTGTACTCGGCACTGGTGAGGCTGCACCTCGAGTCCTGTGTTCATTTCTGGGCCCCTCACTACCAGAAAGACATTGAGGTGCTGGAGCATGTCCAGAGAAGGGCAACAAAGCTGGTGAAGGGTCTAGTCCTATGAGGGAACTGGGGTTGTTTAGCCTGGAGAAAAGGGGGCTGAAGGGAGACCTTATCGCTTTCTACAACTAACTGAAAGGAGGCTGTAGCCAGGTGGGTGTTGGTCTCTTCTCCCAAGTAACAAGTGATAGGACAAGAGGAAATGGCCTCAAGTGACACCAGGGGAGGTTTAGATTGGATGTTAGGAAAAATTTCTTCACTGAAAGGGTTATCAATCATTGAAACAGGCTGCCCAGGGAAGTGGGAGGTATTTAAAACACATGTAGACATGGCACTTACGGACATGGTTTAGTGGTGGACTTGGTAGCGTTAGGTTAGTGGTTGGATTTGATGATCTTAAAGGTCTTTTCCAACCTAAATGATTCTATGATTCTATAATAGACAATTTCTGACACTCAAGCAAAACAAACTAGTTTGCATTTACACGAATCTTCTGCTCTCATCACAAGTAAATACAAGGTGTTCACTTTTGACAGGGAACCATCTTTCACACCTGCTTGGTCTCAGTGCAGTGCCACAAAGGCAAAGGGAATGAATAAAGCTCAAACATTTGTGAGGGGAGCTATGGCCTGCTCAGGATAAACCCAAGACCTGTGGAAATGGTAGCCTGGACAACACCATGGTGTCAAAATCCTTGCACCACCAGGCATAAAGCAGCTATTGCCTTTGTGGTGTCATTTCCAGATCCCTTCAAAAAAAGACAATGACATGGTGTTGGGCCTCTTGGTCTTACTGTATTTATTTATCACGCCTGCTCTGAGCTGATGATACTGAACTCTCTTCCTAGCCTTCAACACAAGGATCTACAGAAGCTCATTCCCAGCTTCTTCCCTTTAATAGCAACTCATTAGCTGTCTTCTACTGTGAAGTTTCCTGACATGCTGCTTTTTCATATCACCACATTTAACACCTATATATCTCTCCCTCAGGAGAGGCAGGCTCTGTATATAGGACCCAACTTACTAATTAGAGCATACGGCATGGCTCTCTTCTGCCTCTGCACAATCAATAACTCCACTTGTTTTTCCTGGTCTTCCAGAGTTTCAATACCAGCCCCTTGGGTTCTCTTCTGCCTCTAAGTATACAAGCACTCATGCTGTGAGTTGTTCTGCAGAAGTGGAGAAATCTTAAAGAACCTCTCACAGAACAGAGGTCTTTGCAGAACATCTCACAGTATCACATCTCCATTGCTGTTGCTAAGATACAGGCAATTTTAAGCGGGGATCTGATGGCCACTGTTGATATCTCACACAGGGCTGCTGCAGAGATTGAGAGACCTACCTCTGTCTTTCAAGTAAATTGTCTCCACTTTCTGACCCTTGTCATCTTTTTCAACAGTCCCTTTTCACAGAATTCCTATAAAGATGTCACTGTTCCTTCCAACCAACCCTCTTCCTTGCCATCCACATAATCCCAAGTATCTCTTACAATCTCAACCTCCTCCTACTCATCTTTTCACAACAAATGTTGTTTCCCTTTCCACAGTTCCTAATGACTTCCTAATCTGAAAATTTTTGGTTTTTCGATCCCCCAAAATCTTACAGTCCCTTCAGCCTCATTCTCAGAAACAGAATGAAACTGATTTAAGTTTTCCATACTTTTAGCTTTAGGCTGATGCTCAACAAGAAATGCTTCAGTCCAAAATGGTTCATTTAAAGTGAAACACAACTGCAAACAGGGTCTGAGATTAAGGCAGTTAATATAATTGCAACACAGATACTGCAATACTTCTGCCTGCTGTGGGACTATAGAGAACTTATAATGATTATAATCATCTGTGCACTGTGAATGGATCCAAGCTGACTTTAATCAACTACTACACTAAGAGCCCAGCCTTGGCAGTCAAAAAGCTCAGTACCTCATTACCCACCTTCTCAGGAGCATACTGCTTTGTTCAGGAAGCACTGTTTCTGTAATTCCCATATCCAAACTATCTAGTTTATAAAGGGCTATGGGCACTGCATTCAGAAAAGCACCCATTGAGATACATGCTCTCCATAGAAACACATAAACGCATTCATTCTTTGCAATCTACTGTAACTCCTTCTGCAATGTGTACTGCACTATTTATTCATGCTACTGAAACACCCTTCCCCTTCCCGTTCTCTCCCCATTACAGTTTGCATGCTAGCTTCTCTCCCCATTTCTCTATCGTCTAAGATAGATAGATAGATAGATAGATGATTTCTCTGAGCCTATCACGTATGCTTCTCAAATCTTAAGTATAGCATACACAAGATTTTGCCAAACAAATATGGCTCAACATCACATATTTCTGGAAGCATAAGCAGAAATTTTTTTCTGGGTTTGTTTCTTTCTTTTTTACCTGGTGAGCTGGAAGTACTGGGTGTGCAGTCACTGTCATCCAGCCACATACTCTGAACCATTGAATCCTGTTTTGGAGGGCCCTTAAGAGAGCACGTCACCTCCTGGAGAGGGCAAAGAAGACGTGTTTTAATAATGCACTTGGTAAAAGCAGGGAGGGTAACCTGTTTGTTAGAGATCATACACCCACCCTGTCATTCTCCTCTTCCTCAGATGTTTCATTTTCCCTCAAACCACTACAACAACTGCTTCCACTGGATGAAGAACGTGAGAATGGCTGCATCACACAGTATCCTGAAGTCTGACTCCTGAGCATTCTGTGAAATGCAAGCATTCAACATCATCATGCTTATTGTTACACATAGGCTTGCACTTTTTGTGACATAGCTTTATTATGTAGCAGTCAGAAATGGTAAGTAGAAATTACTCATCCACAGCTAGTTTTTCCACCTAGGAACAGAATTCAAGTGAACTGGCTTGCATTCCTTAGTTTCTAGTTGCTACTTCATTTAGTAGAAACACCACTTGTTTCCGTTCTGGGTAACTTTATGAAAGGACAAGAATAACTGAATTTTTAAGTCACAGACTTAAGCATCTTAAACCAGAGTGAGTCAAACCACCTGCATTTAAGGACTGTTTATGTCTAGACATTCATTAAAATCAACAGATGCCTTCATTTTGGAGGTCAGAGATTTTAGGAGTCCAAATACAACATGATAAGGCGTTAAACAGAGTATAAAGAGAAGGCACTACCCAGACTAGGCCACACATTCCCACAGCGACTCTCAGCCTATCATGTTCAGTCTTACATGAAATTCCAGACAGCACAAGGGGACTAAAAAAGCACATTTTTCATGTCACAGAGCTTATAAACTGTTACTGCTGTGTTTCTGGACGGTTTTAACATGAGGAGACAGGAAAGCATATAGACAATAACCAGTATTATAGAATGGTTAACTAAGAAAGTTTAAGGAAGCAGTGGGGAGGTAGAAAGAAATTATGAAGATCTGCATTATTTTAGGATGTCTCAGTGCCAAACTATTCGGATCAAGTGCCAAGCTCTTGCACAGACAGGTCAGAACTCTCCTCCTGCTTACAGACACAAATGTACATAGGTCAGGATGCCCATCCTGGTGATTTTGCATGTGCCCAGTTGCCAGTACACTGGCTCCTGTAGGTCCATCCCACTAGACCTTTTGCTCCCACAGAGCCATTACAAAGGGAACATTCAAAGCAAACTGTATTGGATCACTTGACCACCACTCTCTCAAATGTCACGGACACTGAGGTGCAAGTTTCATATCTGTCAAGAAAGACCCTTAAGGTCAGCTTCTCTCAACTCAGAACTTGGGATCCACTGCTTGCAGTCATCTAGGAGAAAGAGCAGTCCATGAGGCTGATATGCTTACATGGTGAAAGGTGCACTGTGCATGTAAACCTAACATTTATGGTGAAATACTGCCTGCACAAGAGATCAGCCAATAAGACAGATGAAATGCTTAAAAATGTTAATGAACTGAAAAAAGCTAAGAGAGGCAAGAAAGATAAGACACCTTTAACATACTAAATATATTTATTCCTTCAGAAACACTGCAAAATGTGGCCAGTCTTGACCTACAAGCAGTAATGAAATCTAAAGTCCCAGGCATATTACATGCCAGCATGCAACAGGGAGAACAGTAAAGATAGGGCCATTATAGGCCAAAGATATTTCCTCAGGAGATTAGGAAATATATTTTGGAGGAAACGAAGGCCAACATGCTTCTCCCTTGGCAGAGCAAATCAATAACATGAATTTAAGTGAGCTGGGACCTAGATTTCCACAAAGTATCTCCTTATGAGCATCCTTCTTCAGCAGGTTTCTCCATCCTCATTCTCTGCACTGCACTTCCTGACCTATGTCATCCAAAGGCACTAGAGACAGAGGTGGAAACATGTTGTTCTGCTCTTGCCTTCTGTGGGCCAAGCTGTTCTCTTCTTGCTCATCTGAGGGGAGGGGAAGAGAAGGGGAGCACTCAAGGTGGTCTCCTTCTCCCATCATTAGTAGAGGCTGGTTCAGTGGCTGCTGATTGGGCAATGGGAAGGGCACAGAGCCAAAATGCTCCAATATGAGCTATCTGTCCATCTCCCTTTCTCAGGATTCCTGCTCCAGGAACTGCCAGTGGAGCATTATTTGGTGCCACTTGGTCTCTCCACAGTCCTTGAGGTCCTTTAAGTTCATGCTTCTCTTAGCCAGGACTGTCATTTCACCCCAAAAGTCTTGCCAGTATCTTCAGTGAGGTAACCAATGACTGAGTAGCATCCGGTCCACTCCTGATTGGCTTGATGTCCCCACTCAGATGTGTCTGAGGAGGGAAAACACACACACAAAAAACCCATGTACTTTTCCTAGGATTTGGACATACAGAGTACAGTGCTTGATTTTTCAGATGCAACCCATCCTGAGGAGTTTTGCTACCTGGTTACTTAGGCTGGGTTCGTTCTTTTGAGTCTGTCCCTTGGGAAGAAGGATTATTTGGAAGGCTATCTGGACAGTAGAGCAGAAAAACTAAGGACAATTGTCCCTGCATGTGGGAGAGAAGACAACGTTAGCCCAAGTCAACAATGCGGTTTCATGGATTGCAGGCTGATCACTGCAGAAGGGTGTGTTGGAAATCAGCATGTGAGGAAAGAAAGTGCTGGTTTGTCTCTACTGTAAAAGAATTAATCTATTACTTATGTGTTCCCTTTGCATTTATTTCCAGGTTAGTTTTAGTAGAACATAGATTAAGAGTTTGATCATTCAAGTCTGGAATCTGAAATGATTATTTAAGATCAGCAGCAACATGCTGGACATTTTTGTGATACAGAAATTTCCTGTGACTCTACTGCCTGGAGAGAACCAGGAGTGGATTGATGACGTATTACGAGGGATAACATTTTTACTATAGGCTGCATAAATTACTCTAGAACCAGCTGGAACTCTTTTTGCATTAGAAATATGCCTATATCATGATCCTGATTTGTGGTTCCACAATTAATGAAATTAATGAATAAATAGAATATTTCAGTGGAACTTTCCCTGAGACAGACTGTTAGAATTACATTCCTACCCTGTTCCTGCAATACTGTGCTAATACTGTGCTAATACTGTCTGGGTGAAAATGGTGTGCTTTACATGGTGAAATTACATGTCCTTGATTTCTTGTCCCAGACATGATGCAGAAGATATGATCACATGTGGGCTGGTCCCTAACTCTGAAATCACAACTCTAACTCTGGCTAATCGCCAATTGTGCAAAATACCATGCTACATCCCACCTCTTAAACAAACTGTCCTGGAATGGGCTAAACCACCACAACTGCGAAAAGACTTTTTCTGGTGATCGTACAAGTGGTTTTGAGTCCATGACTGGAAAAAGATGCACAGAGACAATCCTGGGGACAGAAGCAGACAGACTGCAAAATCATACAAGTCATGCCTCATGTGCACAAACAATATTCATGCAAGTATTGTTAGTCAAATGCCATGCTATGTTTGCTCTCTGAAAGCATGTGCTATCAATTTGAAACAGCCATTGCAGCTGGCTCACCTCCTCAGCTGATGAATGGAGAATGGGGGTTGGGAAGTAGGGGAAGCCCACAATCAGATGCAGAAATCAGGAACAAAAGTCAAGAAAGCTTCATCTTTTTTCTTCCAGGACATGCACACATTCTACAGTAGGGTAACCAGGACTAGCCGAGCTATGAGATGTTTTCTTACTAGGCAGAAATCTTGCTGATTATGCAAGGTTACTTCAGCTACCCAATCAGAGCAAGGGTTCCTCACATGTGCCTAGCCAGAAACTTCTAGTTGACTAACAAGGTCCTAGGCAGGATGAGGATGGAGAGGTGGAATGATGTGGTAATGTTGGAAGAAGGGGGTTGCTGACCAATCAGCAGTTCCACGTCCTGCATTCTCTCTTGTCCTTGGCTGCCAGAGCTAGCATCTCAAATGGTCTGTAGCTCCTAGCTGTGCTCCCATCCTCTTCCCCACCAAAATTTTTGACACCCACCCAACCCAAAAAACTAGTACCACAAAAGCATACTTACCAGAACTCCACACCTTGGCTGTTACAAAATTCTGGGCGGTCCTACAGCAATACAATTGAGCAGCTGAACTACTGCAGATATTCACCAGCCTGCAATTCTTAGGGACCTTTAAGTCTAGTTGGAAGGAAGGCCTTTCCTTGTCAGACCTGGCACCTGGAGCAACTACAGCCATAGAGGTCTGGCTCTAGGGCACCTCCTGAAATTTTCTTAGAGCAGCCCCAGTCCTGAGAAAGGGGCATGCCCTACTGCAAAGTACTCAGTGTCCTTTTTGCCACAGGTCTCATCCAAGTTCTCATGAAAAAATTCAGGTGTGGCAAGCTGTTCCAGAAAGTCAGCCACAGTCTTGGGTTTAGAGACAGGCTGCTCTGAAATCTTGGAAATGTAAATGTGTGGTTTCCATGAAGTCCTGAAGTATCCTAGATAGGATCACATCCCAGCATAATACAGCTTAGTAACAGTAAAGCTGCACTACCAGGAAAGTGCATTTTTCCAGGTTTTGACCACCAGAAACTGGAGAACTATTTTTCAGATGACTGCATGAAGTGTTTTGCAGAAGATTGGGTGTGGTATGGCGTGCTTTAGCAATGAAACATAGGTGCAACACATGAGACCCTGCAGTAACACCTACTGTAACACTTTGGGAGGGCTGAGGACAGTTCACACTGGTTGGGAGCAGCAGCATGAATCCTGCTTAAAGGGGCAGAACTTGAGTACAACCCAACATACCCTTGTCCAAGCTTCTCCATGAAGCTCCAAAATCACTCCAGAGCAAACTATAGAGGAAACATATACATGAGTAAGCATGGATAATTGGACAGCTAGGGCTTTGTGTATCCTCTTGGATGCAAGCTAACATTACAGTAAAGATAGAGCCAAGATCACCTTTAAGTGGTCCAATCTTTCTTCACTGGCTGTTTAAGAAAGCTGAGTTCCTTACTTACATGCTCTGAATTACTGTGCCATGGCCAGACATCTAATTTTTAAGATGCTGCAATGCCTGATGTGGAAAATCTCAGTAAAGCCTCCAACAGAGCAAGACATGCACCACACTTAAGCCAATACCAGACACAGTGAGCATCTTTCAAATACTAAAATTATTTTCAACTCACTTGCTCTTCCTGCTGGGGAACTCTGGGGAGCTGGGACTGGATGATCCATCAGACTTCAGGTCAAAGAAAGTTCCTGGATTGTCCAGCACCTTCTGTATCCTCTCTGCAGCATCTCTGCTGGGACAAAAGAGAAACCAGCTATACCCCAATGCCCGAGTTAACCACTGTCTATTCTAATACTTCCTTACAAGCCACAGTACAAAGCTGGATCTCTCATATACACATGAAAGGGAAGCAAATGCAGTTATGTTGAAAAGGACAGACTCCTTAAATGTGGCCTGTTGAAGGCAATATATTAGAAATGGCCAACTTTAAGCTCCTTTTGCATTGATCTAAAAGCCTAAATTAATTTCAGTAGTCCTCTTTAATTCTTTAACTTTTTATTCTGCCCTCCCCACTTCACTGGTCTTAAGAAGCTGGATGATTGATTAAAGAGTTTATACATTTATTACATAAAAAGGATTCAGCAAATTTCCCTGTTTCAGGATGGTTACAATAGTTTTATTGCTACTATTACTTGTCAAGATACTTATGAAGAAAGCTGTCTGTGTGAATAACTGAAAAGTGGGGTATATTTAATGAAGGATTGGAAAAACTCAGGGTTTTGTTGGGGGTTTTTTGTGCCTTCAGTGATGGAGTTTACAAAGTTCCTCCTCTGCTCTCTTGGTTAGTTGATCCTACCTGTACCCCTCACATCACAGTTCCTCGTACTCTCACTAGTCCTAATACAACTGTTTTTGAGACTGGAAATTCTCCTGACAAAAAACAATCTTGAAACTAACACAACCCTGAAACTTCTATGACACATGAACAAGCAGGATGGACTGGGTCAGCTCTGTCATCAAAGCCTGCGTAGCATGAAACTATACAGCTTCAGGCTGAAGTCACACGACACGTTAAACGCTCTGTTGCCAGAGAAAGAGCCTGGTCCAGCCTCCTCCACTTTTGCTGAGCATATTTTCCATCAGTCCTGGTACCCATCAGTCTTCTCCATGAGCCAGTTCATGGCAGAACCTGACAGACCATTAATCCACTGAAAGAAAGTTGATGCTTTTTCTGTTAGATTAATGGGCTGAATCAGTTCCATGAAGGGTCCACTAAGCACCTGAGCCATCACAAGGGATGGGACAGGATGGGGTAGTTGAAAGAGACACTGGGAGATGGAAAGTATGAAATCTGCTTTTCAGTAGCAATAAACTGTTAGAACAGACCAGTTGCTAGTGAAACTGCACCTTCAAGAATCACACCGCACCTTCACAAAACACAAGATAAGGCTCACTGTTCCTGGTATCTAAGATTACAAATAAGCACAAGTAAAGCTAAACAAACCTAATAGCTTATCAATTCCCTTCTAGCAAAGAGCAGGAAAGAAAGACAGAAAATAAATCCAGGTTTTTTCCTTGTTGTTGAAAACTTTTACAGATCTTTTAAGGGGATAGTGAAGGATGTTGTACACAAAGTAATGGTTTGAGGTGCAGCTGCATAAGGCACAAAACTATTTAAAGTAGTGAGGAGCTATGGCTACTGTGTTGCCTTTGACTATTACAGGGAAGTTGTCTCAGAAATTTTTATTTTTCTCAAAGAAAGTTCTATACTATTTTTATTCAGATTAGGTCAAAGGCTCCTCATTAAGGAAAGGTCCAAAAGAATAACTGGAAAGAAGGGAAAATGTAGTAATTCTTCCTGCTGTGAAATCACTCGTTTCCACATTAAAGATGGCTTTTCCCCTTTTACATTGAGTCTTCAGCTGTTCCCTGGAATTCTTTCAACTGGGAAAACTGTATATTACATGCAGAAGACTCATGTGACTTTTGAGACTCTGTATAATCTTAAAAAGGTGTCTTAGCTAGAGCCAAAACAAATTTATTAATTTAACTAAATAATCTCTTGTAACCAGTAGACAACTTTTGAATGGTTATAATTCTGTCAAATATTCCAAATCGCTCCTTGAACCGGTATGCTACTCCTTAATTATTTCTCACACCATCTAACTTAAACGCTAGTTGTTTTGACTAACAGCTTTTTAAAAAAAACAATCTTTTTTTTTAGATATCAGAGGTTTTGTCTATTTGAACTTTTTAACATGAAAACAAGAAAACAAACAAACAAACAAGCACCCAATTCCCCCTTCCTAAGTAAAAGCCTTTCATCTGACTCTTACCTAAAAGTGGTGAATATAGAACAGGGGAACCAACAGTCCTGGATCATACTGCACAATGTTTAAGAGCAATCTTCCTATGTTCCTCCACCCATCTCCTCCCTTCTTCCTCAAATGTTGATTCTGTCCATTTCTAAATGTCCTTTTTTATTTTGTCTGTTTCTGTCATTTGTCCATTTCTCCATTAGTTGATAATTAGGCTTTCCATCCCATTCCAACCATTTCCATTTCAGTTCTCATTCCTGTCGATTCCCTTTCTGTCCTTCTAAGTGCCTTTCTATCTCCCTTTTCTCATCTCCTCCTGCTTTTTTCTCATCTTCCCATGGCTCATACCTCTTCTCCTCCTGTATGTTCTCAATGCCAATGGCACTACTCCGTCGCCCATGGAAGCGGCTGGCTCGAGTACGTGATGGGCTCCTACCAGGCAAGGCAAAAGACTAGAAAAAAGGAAAGCGTGACAGAAAGGAGGCAGGGGAACAAGGCAGGAAAAACTGTGGAGAACTGGAAGCATGGGAGAGGGAGTTTGTGATGTGGATCCAGATCCTCTCCTTTACTCTGCAATACAACAGCACAGCAGAGCTCCACCCGTGCAAGAAGGAGTGCTTTCTGTCAGTGAGAAAGGGAAGCTAGGGCTTACAAAAGGTGGTATGAGAAAGAGACAGAGATACAGAAACAAAGGCAGATCAAGATACACAGCCAGTATACAGAGAAAGAGGCTCAGGAAGGGAGGTATCCCCATATGAGAAGGAGAGGCAGAATCAGAAAGGTAGAGAAAACTGGAAGTTAAAGCAGAGAACGAGGCAGCAAATCCAAGTCATTACTATTCTGTTGTAAAAAAGTAAAGTCTGTACTATTCTGACATAAAGAATGCATACAACTGAGAAAACTGTCACCAAGAAATTTCCACACTGAAAGGCACCTTCTTGTCTTACTCAGAGATTTTTTGTTTTGTTTATATTTTTGTTTATATTTTGTTTGCCTGTATTGATATCACTATTGCAGAGACCATAATCAGCTGGATGCACTTTCGCCAAGGTAACCATAATTCCAATATCAGAAACATGGATCCTTTCCTGGAAACATTTGTCATGGATTTATTATGCTCACACTGATCACACATGCTTAATACCCCTATCAAATAAGAAAAGCTTCAATAGTGACTAGAAACACTCACTCTCTTTCTCACCCCAAACTTTATTAATTCTGCTGTTTGTTCCCAACATGCAAAGTCTATTTACAACAAAACAGCACCTTGAATAAACATTGTCCACCTGTTTATATTACAGAAAAGAATATGATTGGTGAAATGGAAGAAAATGGAACAGATCTAGTGTCCTTATGTTCTCAGCTCTTGCCATATAACAATACAGTACCATCCTGGTCGAGCATCAGTGCATGCACTTTTTTAAGGTATGGCAACATACAGAATCTAATCCAGGATAGCAGAGATAGACATTTGATGTAGAACCATGTCTGGCTTTCTTCTCCCGGTCTGCATTAATCTCAGCTCTAGTTTACAGATGAACTGGGGCTAGAGATAGGCACAGACAAAACAGACTGCAACACATGCTCTCACCACTTGTGAAATGGGATGATACAACAAAAAGAGATTCACAGAAAGACATGAAAGAGAAATAAAAGGTATAGGTGGGTCACAAAGGTATGCTGGGTTTTCTTCTTACAGCCCACCTGAATACCTTACCGCAGCAATGGCCTTAGGACCCTCGGCGACACTCTGGCTGAGGGCAAGGCCAGCTGTAGTTGGGCGGCTGGACAGGGTGGCTGGCTGCTGCTTTCTCATGGATATCCCCATGGTATCCAGGCTCTGGCTGCGGCCTCTGATCACCCGCTGAACAGAAGGCAGGCAGGGAAACAGACAAACACAGATACACATATAGGCATGCACACAGTAGGGCAGTATGAACAGCACCACAGATTGGGTGGAAAGTTGTGACAGACTAACACCAGAACCACAGAAGTCCTAACTCCTAGAAGGCAGCATCTTAGATATTACCCATTTTTGGTCCTAGACAATTCATGGACCTCACTGCCAGGGAAGAAATCTTCAAGTATATTCTCTACTTTCACCTCCCTTGTCCTATCCTGTTTCAATAAACACAGATTCCCTAACAGTATCCCAGCATACTGGATAAGACACCATCGTCTGGAGCAGTCCTACCCAGTACAGGCTACAAAACACAAAATCAAACTCCTGTTCAAGACTGTAAGGTTCAGTCTTGCATGAATTTGAGTGCTGGTTCCAAGGGGAAAGTAGCCACATCAAAATCTGCAGCATTTGAAAAAGCTATTTTCTGAGTTCACTCAGCTTTTTCCAGCCTTTTACAAAGGTCATCTGTGTACATGACATGCAAATCACAGCATCTGCTAGAAGTCAGAAAAGGACATTACGGGATAATTAGTGTAAGACATGGATGGGTATGAAATTCCTGGTTAGCAGAAAAGGCAGTGTAGACTGATTGTACGTAAAAATACACCTCACCAAAGCATCCCAGCTCTGACCAAAGCTACACATATAGCTACCACACCTATATGTGAATGGATTCATTTCACAGCCCTTAACAACTCTAACAAGCGCACCATACAAAGCAGGTGGAGGTCATCTGAAGAAATGCTATTTATAATATGTCTCTCTGTCCAGACAGATAATTTATTATACAAAAGAAGTGGTGAGACATCTCCCACAGAAGTGGGAAAGGGGAAGTTGATAGGAAAGTGATATAAGGTTCTCTATAATCAGTTCAAAACTCAGTTTGCCATACAAAAACTTTGCTTTCTCATATCATCTTGATCACTTTTCAAAGTTTTGTCACCTGATCCTGATTTATTAAAAAAAAAAAAAAAGAAAGAAAAAAGTGTCATCTACACTGAATTAATTTAAATTAACTCTGGGTTTCAGAGGGTAAGTAAAGCACCACAGTTTTTCTAGACAGTACACTCAGATATGTTAGAATCTCTCTTGCAGTGGCTCTTGAAACTCTTTGTTATAATGAAAAATTAATTGGAAGAGATCTGCTGTAGGAACTCAAAGCTGATTGCTTCTACTTATTACAGTTCCTCTTCCAAACACTCACTCCTTTTTCTCTAAGTCATGGAGTGAAACCCCATCTGACACTAGACACCAGCATGAAGTATAAAGAGTTTGGCTTCTCAGGGACAGTACAGAATTCCGCCCTGGACCACACTGTATCTCTGTAGAAAGGAGTACGGAAAATGGAAAAATGTCTTTTCTTGAATAATATGGTAAGGCACAGTTGAAGATGCTCTAAAGAAAGGCTGCTGGATGGAAAGACTTTTTTCTGTCTCACCCTAAGTACAGCTGATCAGCAGGGTCAATATTCCTTGGAAGGGCACACAATGAGCTTGAGATAAGTGTGAGCAACTGGGTAAGGAATCAATCCACTATGGCTCACCTTAAAATTCTCAAGGAAGCCCCCACTGCCATTCTCTATCTTGTCATCTTCTCCTATAGGTAATCCCATCATACAGCGGCTACGAAGCTGCAGCTCCTCAAAAAGGCTCTCCAAAAGGGCGCTCCGGGTTCTTTCCTGCATCAACATTGGGAATGAAAACATAGCTATTATTGGGAGTGGAGGGATTTTTTTTTTTTTGCAATGTCTCACATCTCCCTTTTAAAAAAAAAATCACTATGTAAAATTAATTTAAACAGTATGAAGTGGTTTTAGCTATATAGTTATGAAATATATTACAATAATAGCCAGCCCTTTTAAACTCTTTAAAAAGCAAGTCATAAAGGACATCAATATTTTTTTACAGAGGCATGGATTGAGAGCAGTTTTTTCTAGATCAGGCAAGCAGCAGTCTGGAACAGAATTTTGATATCTTGAACCAAAATCAGTGACACCAGTACGCACCCAGTAGCACAATACTGAGTTTTAGCTAATACAGAATTTCCTCTAGGAAAGTGTATGCATCATATTCCCATTCTTACTTGAGGATGAGATCTTTACATTAGAATGTACCTGTTCATATTCTATCATGCCTGCTGTGAAATACAAGGGAAGCATCACATAGCTGAGTGTCATCACATGTCATCTTCCTTTTTTAAGCAACACAAAATTAAAAGTAGAAGTAAAAAAATATACTGTATTTTCTTAATCTGCAGTAATATAGTTTTATAATTTTTAATGGAAGCAACCAGGTAATAGACCCACCTCTAATTTAGCAAATTTCTCAGCTCGATAGCAGCTGTACTCAGCATTGATGAGCTTGACTAACAGGAATTCACGAAACTCCGCACTCTACAAGACAAGATGAAGACTAGACTGGAGCAGAAAACAGTAATAAAAATATCACATGAGAATATGTTGTTACTTTTTACTTGTTACTTTTTAGACCTACAAAGTCACGTAGCCAGACTGACAATACTGACTCAGAACACAAGGGTGTGTACCACATCCCCCTGCCATCTAATGCTGGAGCAGAGAAACAAACCTTTCTAAATATGGCTGGATTTGGCAGAGGGGGTCCAAAGAAGGGGACATCATCTCGGGCTGTGACTGAAACCTGAAACAATAGAAGGGGAAAAAAGTGAGTATCATAACACAAGTGACGCTATCAAAGCTTTCAAACTACTATGGTACATCTGATCCCTCCTGGATCATTTACATATCCGAAAGAGAGCTAGTATGCTGTCCCACACGTCCATCTGTTTCTGAACTCAGTGAATGGATGTGCCAGTTTATCTCCCAGAAATTCAGTGAGCTAGATGTGCACAAGTAAAAGCAACAAAAACAACTGAACTGATAGCTCTTTTTGCTTTAGTAAAAAAATGTTTTTAATAAATATTTTTAATAATAACCAATGTATTTAGGAAAAAAAACCCAAACACCTTCTATTCAGCCTGCAAGATTTACCTCAGTTAGAACAACCTTTGTCAATATGGTTGTACTGACCAATTTTTTTTGACAGAGAATCCTCAGTGGAGACATACTGCACACTGAGGGGAGTATCTCAGTGACACCACCTCTCCAAATCACATGTGGTAAACATACAAAAGCACTTTCCCACTAAGAGATAAAGAAATCCATGCTTCTTTTTATTTTTTTAACATGCTTCTACCTGACATACAAATGCAAAAAAAGTAACCCTAATGTAGTCCAGTTTTTACATACTGTCACTTGACTCTTCACAGCACTTACTTATACTATATGCAGCTATCCTACCAGATACATACAGCACTTAAGACTATGTCACGGGGGTTTATTCATCATGTTTTGAGATGGAACAATACCAATATTTAGAATCATAGAATGGTTTGGGTGGGAAGGGACCTCAAAGATCATCTAGTTCCAACCCCCCTGCTGCGGGCAGGGACACCCTCCACTAGACCAGGTTGCCCAAAGGCCCATCCAGCCTGGCCTTGAACACTTCCAGGGAGGGGGCCTCCACAACTTATCTGAGCAACCTGTTCCAGTGCCTCACCACCCTCACAGCAAAGAATTTCTTCCTAAATCCTAATCTAAATCTACCCTCTTTCAGCTTAAACCCATTACCCCTTCTCCTATCACTACACTCCCTAATGACCAGTCCTCCAGCTTTCCTGTAGGCCCCCTTTAGGTACTGGAAGGCCACAACAAGGTCTCCCCAGAGCCTTCTCTTCTCCAGGCTGAACAATCCCAACTCTCTCAGCCTGTCCTCACAGGAGCGGTGCTCCAGCCCTCCCATCAGCTTCGTGGCCCTCCTCTGGACTCGCTCCAACAGCTCCATGTCTATCTTTGTAATGGGGACCCCAGAGCTGGATGAAGTACTCCAGGTGAGGTCTCGCAAGAGCAGAGTCGAGGGGCAGAACCACCTCTCAACCTGCTGGTCACACTGCTTTTGATGC